GAGTGAGTGTTTTCCAGGGGCCCTGAGGAGGAATCAGGGAGAAATGGTGAGGGTCCCAGGAGGGCACGGTGGGCTACAGATGGAAATATTGGGAAGGAAATCATGGAGCCAAGGCTGAGGTCATTGGGAACAGACACTGAACTGCCCTGTCCGTCATGGAGCCCAATGGGAGAGCCATCGCCAGGCGAGGGGCTCATGGTTGGCCCATCAGCTCGGAGTCAGGGAAAGCTTGGAGCAGTGCCTCCCATGGGGCGTTGGTCAAACTCTGCCAATGCACGTGAGCTAAGGAAAGGCACTGACTAGTCCTGCAGCAGAGAAACAGTTAAATATCATGGAGCCTGACAATTCCCCCATCATGTTCATTCCTCCTACCAACTCAGGGAGCCTGGACCCCCTTCAAGGCATGGCTACTGGTGCTAGGAACATGGGGTGAGGATGAGGCACAAGAAAACTCAGTTTATGTTCTAATGGGCCTGAGTCAAGTTCAGGCTCAAGGTGACCCTAGCAGGGGGCATGGACCTCCATTATGAGAGTCTCAACACCTGAAGTCAGATGAGGGTGAGATTGTTTATGGCTGGTTTAAGGTAGGAGCAGGTGTTGCCAGACTGCACCAGAAAGGTGTGAGGGGCATGGGAGTTGACCTTGATGGAATAGAAAGGGCACAGTCCTGGGCACCAATTGGGCATCCTGTGATGTCCCAGGGACGGAGTATCAACTGGAGTTCAGGAGCCAAGTAAGAGCAGGTCAGTCCAGCTCAGAACAGGCAGAGTGTGGCCTGTGGGGTACAGCAAGGTCAGGCCTCACCAGTGACACAGCATCCCCACGCCACTCCCCGCCCCCCCCCCAGGCCCCTTGCACAAGAAAGGCGTGCGGGTCATGGGAGTTGACCTTGATGGAATAGAAAGGGCACAGTCCTGGGCACCAATTGGGCATCCTGTGATGTCCCAGGAAGGGCATATCAACTGGAATTCAGGAGCCGAGTAAGAGCAGGTCAGACCAGCTCAGAGCAGGCAGAGTGTGGCCTGTGGGGTACAGCAAAGTCAGGCCTCGCTGGGGACACAGCACCCCCACCATTCCCCCTCCAGTTTGCAGGATGGTGGTCTGGTCTCCGCCGTCCTCCCACGGTAACAATGGCCACTGAGTGGCTTGGGAAACTCTAGCAGGTGAATGCATCTGCCGTGTGAAAGCACCACGGGTTCCTCAAGTGATGACAACAATGGGTCTGCAAATGATGGCCATTCATCCATTGGGAGCCTCTTTGGGAGGCTTCTGTGGGTCCCGACACGACCCCAGGGGATCTCTATGGTTCCTGGTGACAAGGAGCCAGCATGCTGTAGCTCCCCTGGTGCCTATAGCCCTAGGCTATGGAACCTCACTCACAGTGCAATAGATGCCCTCCAAACTCATCCCAATCCCAGGAGACCACAGTACAAGCAGCCTATCAGCCACCAAGTTGCTGTGGGAGAATTGCTTCCAACAGTCCTGATGCTGTACAACTCGCTGTGTCATCCATCCACCCTACAATCTGCTGAGAGGGTGGCGGGGGGACAGTGTGCGCCCCTGGCAGAGCAGACAGCAGCCGGGGGCAGTGGCCCAGGCTTCCTCCAGCACAGCTGCAGGTGGGGGCACAGGGGTGGGGCAGGGCCACCCAGAGAGAGGTTTTTGTATGAGCTTGTATCACAGTGTTGGGTGTTCGGCGGAGGGACCCAGCTGACCGTCCTAGGTGAGTCTCTCCTTCCCCCTCCTTTGCTGCTCTCCCAGAGGATTGGGCCATTTTCTGTGAGTTCTGCTCTCTCTGGGTCCTGTCTCAGCCTGTGGCCAAGCTTTCTCCTCAGGATCCCAGCCCTTGGGAACCTGAGCTCTATGGGTCCCTGGTCTTACTGTTCTATTTGGTCACTCTCAGCCGTTCACCTCTGATCCCGGAGACAGAGGAATGGTCAGGGTGCCCTGTGTGTGGATTCTTCCATCTGTCTCTGAGGGTCATGCTGGATTCTAGATGGGCTCTGTTCTGTCTTCCTCTGTTAAGTTCCTGTGGGACAAGGTTATTTCAGGGGGTCATTGGTGGCCCCCGTCTAATGAAAGAGAGGATAAGGAGCACTGAGGGGGTAACCTTGTGAAAATTTTAGGGTGACCCAGGACCCTCTAGAGGATAGAGACACTCAGGTCAGAGATTCAGGGCAGGTCTCAGGGACTGTGGACTCATGAACAGGGGCCAGGAATGGTGCTGGGGTGCAGGGCTCCGCGGGGCTGCATGGAGCTGGCATGCGGAGTCCTGACCAGCCTGGCACCAGGGAAAACTGCAGGAGGAAGGACACAGGGGGGAGGAGAAGGTGCTGGAGGAAGGCCATGGAAGGACAGGTGTGAGGACAAGGGGGCCTTTGGTCTCTGCAGGAGGAACATCTTACGAGGAATCACAGAATCTATGGCATGAAAGCTCTAGTGATCGGACCAATTTGTGGCGTTGCCATTGACTGTAGAATGAGAGAGACCCAAAGACAAACAGACAGATATTTTGTTCATCAGAAAAAGCTGCCACCCAGTTTGGACAGGGAGCAGGAGACATAGATGTGGGGAAGAAACTGAGCCCTTGGGCCGATGCTCCAAAGCCCCCAGCACAGAGGATCAGGTCAGAGGTGCCCACAGATGGACCCAGCAGGAGGT